GCCCAGCCACACCAGGAATCTTAATGTCTTAATACATCTTAAGCTATTACAAAATTTAGCATGTCTGTAGCGCAATTAAGGCTCCAATAATTTAAAATGAATACGGGGAGAAAATATTATTTAGACAGCCAGCGAGATTTGTAGTCTCATTGTATGAACCCACCCTAAGAGAAGGGGGCATCAGACATTCAAGCCTGGCCCAATTCAACCACTAGCAGAGGCCATAGTCTGTCACAAAGATTTGCCCCGGTCCAGTCCACTCATTCTCTGCCAAGCTCTTAGGGCTGGGGTGAAAGCAAAAAAGCCGTGAGAAACAAAACAAAACAAATAAAAACAACCAAAAAACCTTGATAATTTATCTTCTCTAAAGGTCTCTGTATGGTTACAAGTCAGTCCCAGAATACAAAATAAAATAAATGGGCCTGGGGAATGGTTCTCATTTCATTGCAAAGACCCTGGAGCTCTGCATAGTGGGAACATTGTACATCTTCAGCGCTCATGGTGGTGTTACTGGCAGGACTCGTGGGTGAAGCAGGTCCAAGGGGGCGAGGCCAATGTGGCTGAAGGAGGTGATGGCAATGGCCAGAAAGCAGTGCTGACCAGAGACGGCTACTGGGTCACTGGCCAAATTCAGTACATGTAAGACCCACACTGGGGACGCTTTAGGAAGAATTGGTGGGTGGGAGGTGAGGAGACTGTTAAAGGTACTTATGGAGCAACAGTCACCCAAATCAATCAAATCTGGGTAGCTTCTATCAAAATGACCCCATTTTAACAGGCTGGGGTCACCATGAGGAAACGCGTTGCATCTACAACAAAACCAGGAAGGACTTCTTAGTCAACAGAGATCATACCACCTGAAAGATATGTTCCTAGGATTGGACAGATAAGGTAAGAAGCCATACCACATACACAAGAAGTATGGCACAGTGATCAAGGGCATGAGTTCTGGAGCGAGACTGCCTGGGTTGAGATATAAGCTCTGATACTAGCTGTGCAATCTTGGTAGAAGTGCTTCTTTTTGCCTCAATTTCCTCACTATAAAATAGGGATAATAGTATCTACCACATAAAGTGGCTATCAGGATTAAATAAATTAATATATATGTAAAGTACTTAGAAGAAAGTCAGCTTCTTAGAGTTCCTCCCAATAATTTATTGTCCTATAAAATGGGGATAACAATAATAGCTAATACTTATGATCCACCTACTATCTGCCATACCCTCTTCTAAGTCTTTTACATATAATTAATTCTTACCTCACTTTTTAAATGAATATGGATGAAGTACTTACAATGGCACCGAGGGCACGGTAGCACACGATAAACTGAATTACTACTATTACTACTACTACTATTAAAGCTAGCCTCTGCAGTGCCTCCTCTGTTGTAAATACTATGCTAGGTATTGTCCATACGGTGGCTTTACATCTCACCAAAGCTACAAGGTGAGACTCCTCATCTTCACTGGGCAGATAAAGAAACCTGCAGAAAGATTAAGTAGTTTGATTAACTCTCCACAGTAAGTGACAATTCTGAGTTTCAAAACCAGCTCTCTACGACTTCAAAGTCCTGTCCTCCTCCTCCTCCACTATGCTGTTGTTATAACTTCTTTTAACAAGTTATTTGAAAAACAGATGACAGTAGCAAAATAAAACTATTTTTTCTGGTTTCAGAAGGTAACAATGTTGACTAGCAACATCTAGAATATGAAGACTGCTGTACAAGGCTGCTTCTGCTAGTAGGGAGGGAGGGAAGAAGGTCTAGCCAGAAGACAAAGAAGGCTTCAACTGTTTCTTTAATATTAGTTCCTTTAAAAAATACACATTCAACCACACTGCCACAAGTACAATAAAATATTAACATTTATGAAATACAGGTGAAGGTTTTCTGGCTGTTTATTATACTATTATCTAATATATTCCCTCTGTATTTTTCTGTATGTTTGAAATATTTCCTTAAAAATAAACACGCACCACTCAACTACTACTCCACACTGTGGGAAGCTTCACGGAACTAAAGAAAATGACAGGATTCAGGGGTCTGGAAATTCATAATCAAGTCCTGATTGTGCCATTAGCCATGACATGCTCTTAAGAAATTCACAATCTTTTTGGAACTTAAGAACCTATGAAATCAGACCAGACTACAAGACGACAGCTTAGAGTCATGCAGTGTGAACATACAATTCATTTATCACCACTGCTACATCAATATTATTCCTGTCAGGCAGATAGACACCATCAGAAGATAGAAAGCTCAATAGCACAACAAATTCCTTTTAATTGTTAAATCTGGAGAGTACTTCCCAACATTTTTTTGAGTAAAATATTCTTTGTCATTCTATAATCCAGTGGCTCTCCATGTTTTCAAATGTGAAAATCCTTTCTTAAGGTATCATCACCATCTACGTGGTAGCTATGTGGATCTGCAGACTCCTTGTACTAACTCAGACAGTATATCAGTATGGGGGACACACTGTTACGAACTTTCAGACTCCTCCAATATTCACTATCATAGCAATTCAAACTTTATTACTAAGGGAGGCAGGGATTATGTATAAGACTCTATCAAAGCTCTCAGAAAGTTCAGACAACTGTCAAGTAGAACATTCGAGAAAGTAGAGAGCACAAAGATTTTAAGATTGTTTTACATGAAAAATATTAACCCCTCTAGTTTTTTTTAAATGAATAAGCCACACATTTATCTTCCTTAAAAGGCTTAACAATTTTGACCTCAGATGATCCACCTGCCTCGGCCTCCCAAAGGGCTGGGATTACAGGTGTGAAACACCATGCCCAGGCAACATGGCAAAACCCGTCTCTACTAAACACACAAAAATTAGCTGGATGTGGTGGTGCACGCCTGTAATCCCAGCTACTCGGGAGGCTGAGGCAGGAGAATTGCTTGAACTCAGGAGGCGGAGGTTACAGTGAGCTGAGAATGCGCCATGCACTCCAGCCTGGTGACAGAGCGAGACTCCATCTTAAACAATCAAACAAACAAAAAAACAAAAAAACTTAACAATTTTGCATATTTAAGTGCTACAAGTCAAAAAGATGCAAAGCAGTAGCCTGAAATGAGACATGAAACGTGGCGGCTCGCAGACCAAGTTTCAGTTCCAGTTGTTCTTACGTCCCAGTGTGAATTCTATTAATAACTACTTCAGGCCAGAGCTCTCTGTAGCCACACAGCTGACTTTTCTCATAATCTGGAATAATGGTATCAGATATGCTTAATCTGGGTCAAGTTACACAAGTTAGGGTTTTCTGTTTTTAAAAAGGAGAAAAGCTGGGACACAATATTAAAAATCATACTAGTTTTTTGAGTGCAAATCTGAAAACACAGTTATTGCTAAAATATTTTTGCTTTTGTATTATTAAAAGCTATAATGTTTTCAGAGAATACTTGGTATTCGGCCAATTAATACTCATTATTTGGCTAGGCGCGGTGACTCACGCCTGTAATCCCAGCACTTTAGGAGGCCGAGGCGGGCAGAATACCTCAAGTCAGGAGTTCGAGACCAGCCTGCCCAACATGCTGAAACCCTGCCTCTACTAAAAATACAAAAATTAGCCAGGCGTGGCGACACATGCCTGTAATCCCAGCTACCTGGGAGGCTGAGGCAGGAGAATCGTTTCAACTTGGGAGGCAGAGACTGCAGTGAGCCGAGATCAGGCCACTGCACTCCAACCGGGGTGACAGAGCAAGACTCCATCTCAAAGAAACAAAAAACAAACAAAACAAAACAAAACAAAAAAAACCCTTATTTAAGTAACATGAGTAGATGTCAATGGCATGTTACACAATAAGATAAACTTCGACTTTAAAACCAACTTTACTATAGGCCAATTGATGTAAACAAGTGGGACAGTTCCCATGGCGTATTTCTGGTCACAAAAAAAATCACCAAACTTCTAGAGACCCCAAACACTTCTAACACTAAACACTGAAAAAATGTGAGCTATAACATACATTTAAGAAACATTAACAACAAGATAATTATTTACCCTACTTCTTCCAGTTCAGGGTCACAGGTGGCCAGAGCCTGTCCCAACAATTCAGGGTGCCAGACTTGAACTAGCCCTGGGTAGGATGTCATCCTGTTGCAGGGTGCACTAACAAACACCCACATTCTCTCAGTCTGGGTCCTTGCAGACATGCCAACGAACATAACGAGCACATCTTTGGCGTGTCGGGGGAAACCAGAGTACTCAGAGAAAATTCACCCAGAGATGGGGGGAATATACAAACTCCATACAGACAGTAGCCTCTGCCAGAAGAGATTTTTTTTTTTTCCTCATCAACTTTTTACCAAAATTGTCCAAAATGTTGAACTAAATGACATTATTGAAGGATCTGCTATACTTTAAACTGGAAAAATAAAAGGCAACTAAGCATTGGTTAATAACATCTAGCGTTCAGGACACAAACTTGACATATTTAGCTTAGAAAGCATAAAATATTTTATGTGGAATAAATGCTAATACCTGATACTATATATATATATTTTCACTTCAGGATATTAATATATCACCCCTCATGGACTATACAATTAATCTGTACACATAAGCAAGAATAAATCAATTTAGCATACAGTCCACCTCCTTTAAATATCACTCATTACTTGCATAATCCAATCGACAAGTGGAAAAAGCTGGAGATGGCTGATGTCTAGCAGTCAAGCCACAGCATCAAAAATGTGCCAATATACTAAAAATGATGACCATGTGAAATTCTCAAATGATGTCCTTTAATTCTGATACGGGTGTGTTTGCTGCTGTTCATGTTCTCAACCTTTCACTGATGAGATAATGTATTACTGTTAGGAACTACCAAAAGAGCACCATTTGGATTACTCTGAAGTAGGCTTTTGGATTCGCAACTTGACCTCAGGAATCCCTCCACTGACCTATGGCCAAGTTGTGATCAAGCAATCTCTGTACTAATATTATCCCCTAGGAAAATGAAGTCTCCCCAGAAGATCTCGACCAATGTCATATGCTCTTCAATCCCCTTCAATTATTTTTTGGAATAGTTCATTTCCTCCCAGCCATTTGCTCCTAGCTCAAAACAAAACAAAACAAAAAAACCTTCTTAGCCAGTGAGTAAATTAACATGATGGTAAGGTTTTGAGACTTGCCAAGTGCTGAATCATGTTGATGCTTAGGTTTTTGTTTCTACACCTGGTTTGGGGGGCATAAACTCCCTCTAAGAATCCTAGCTACCTGAGTCAATCCACTGGAAGATGGGATCACTGCCCAGCAAATGCCACCCACTAAGAATTCAAAGTGAAACAAGATTCTTGGAATTGAATGGGAGAAAACAAAAGCTTTTCATTCAGTAGGTGGCACTCTTTCCTTATAAATGTTAACCCAGGCAACCACTAATATCAAAGATGTCATCTGCCCACTAATCATTTAAAAGAGAAGGCACATTAACTCCAACATCCTGTCCTAAATATAGTCTGAATCATTACTGTCTTCCTAAATGATGTCTGCCTCATTTCAATGAGATCCTGGAGTTGTTCATAAATATGCCAATTTCTTTTCACTATAGCAAAAGCTACAATTTCATAGAACCAAATAATTGCATTTACTTTAAACTGGCAGGTTTTGACTTATAACTTTTCCTGCTATATGCTTCAAAAGACATTCATCATAACTGTTTTCTAATTTTAATGATTTCAGATATAAATGACAATTTGAATGGAAATGGGGCAAAGAACTGTACTTGTAATACAGAAATTGTATTACTCCATTTCAAAACAAGACAGCTATTTTTCATAAACACGCATATGAATATTCTTTTTAAAAGAACAGCTTTGACTCATCATCACTCTGATACTGGACCAAAGTTATCAACCTGAAAACTTTTAAACTGAAAAATGAAAGCAGTCTGACAGCTAATAAAATGTGAGTTTGCCTAGCATACAGAAGCAGCAAAAAATAAAAACAAAACCCCCAGTTTATCCAGTTTTCCTTAGGAATATTTCTTGGTGTCAGTACTCTGTAGGGTCCACCTCATTACTGAAGCTCTAGGGTCCCCCTTGGAGAAACCATCCCAGGTCCTGCCTTCAGCCTCTCCGACTGGCCATGTCCCCTAAAACTCAGTGTGAAGAAATCTTTCTCAGTACTCACTCAGCAAGGAGCACTGCTACAAAGGCCTCTTATCTGTTTCCCATTCTTGACTTTGAGGTCCTTGAGGACAGAAATGGGTCTCAAGTTTATGTCTCCTGCCCTAGCAGAAAGCTTGGCACAAGGGTGGTAATCAATAAATATGTACTGAATAAAATAATGGAGTGATCTTTTCCCCTTGGACTTTTACTTGAGAACAAGGCCTTTGTCTTACTCATCTTTCATCCAGCCGTGCTGACTCCCAAATGCCCAGTATTTGTACATAGCAGGCTGTGAGGAAGCAATGCCTTTCCAATATGAGGTT